TTTGTGTAAGAGTGTGGTGTAAGAGATGTGTGTGAGTGTGTTGTGTGAGTGTGAGAGAGTGTGTGTGTGTAAGAGTGTGTGTGAGAGATGTGTGTGAGTGTGTTGTGTGAGTGTGAGAGACAGTGTGTGTGTGTGTATGTGTAAGAGTGTGTGTGAGAGATGTGTGTGAGTGTGAGACTGTGTGTGTGTGTGTGTGTGTGAGTGTGTGTGTGTGTAAGAGTGTGGTGTGAGAGATGTGTGTGAGTGTGAGATAGTGTGTGTGTGTGTATGAGTGTGGTGTGAGAGATGTGTGTTGTGTGAGTGTGAGTGTGTGTGTGTCTGTGTCTGTGTATATATGAGCCTGTGTGTGTGAGAGTGTGAGTGTATGAGATATCATTGTCTACTCACATTAGTACAGGATTGACTCTTCGTTTCATCTCTGACGTTCCTTTCCCTCATATGTAGCCCTTGAACAATCCTAATTCTGAACAGCTCACAGTGGGAATGAGATTCAGAAAATCTCGCAGCTCTTTGTTCTCCCTGTGGAACTTGCCTTATGTTCAGCTTTCAAGGGAAAATTTACTCTGTGCGATCTAAATATCCTATTAAAAGGGGCCATCGTATTGTCGTTTAACATTGGCCTGATCGACCTGTAGCGACAGTACTGACTCTCAATCGCCCTGTTACACATCCTCCTCCCTACTTTGAGCACAGCACCATTAGTTCCATTGAGCCTCACACCAACATGGTTTATTTGAAAAGGGTTATCAATGTGCCTCTTCCCTGCAGCGCTCCGCCTCTCAAATAATAAAGCAATGCTGACGAAATTACCAGACACTATGTCATCTTTCTCTTCCCTAGACCCCTTCAATTTGAGGGGCACGTGGCATTTCGCCAAGACAATTGGAACTTCAGTAAGCAGCACCTTGAGGTTTCCATGCCCATGAAATGGATGGGCCATATCCCACTGCTGCCCCCTACAGCAGCGACTGCCCAAAGAGAGAACACTATGTTCCTGTGTGTTCCTCCACTAATCCACTGACAAAGTCTCCCTCAAGGCATTGCCTTAAATACAAATGTTTGCGGGAAGTCTGTGACAGCGAGTAGGGGGTTAATTTCAGAGCAAAAAAATCAATCACAAGGCTCACCTCCCAGGAAACAGCCTTTGGCTCAGAGTTTCACTAGAACCAGTTTTGTCCATTCTGATGTGGGTTTTGCTTGCAGCAGGGTAAATTTATCCAGTGTGGCAATGCTTATGTTATCCCTCATAACTAGGACTTAGGTAACATGATATTGAAAGATCCCATAAATGCTCATTACAGCTCATTGGTATATGCAAATATTATATTCGCAGGCACATGCATGTCTGGGTGCTGACATTAAGTATTCAGTTACAAAGAGCAGAATGCTTCCATCAGCATGCTATGCTTCCAGTGGCCGCTGTTAAGATGGAATATGAGACCTTTACACTAGTGCTTCCCAAACGTTATCCACTGTCCCCTCATCTTGAAGCTAAAACACTGTGCTCTCAGGGAGCAGTGGGCGAGGAAGGAAGGTAGGGGTGCGGTAGTGGCTCAGCTATCACAACCTTAGAATTCACAATCCGAATCTTTCAGCTCAATTTCAGCACTCAGTGTCCTGATCTCCACATTGGAAAGCTTTGCTCTATCCCCTCAGGTCACAAGCTATAACATGAGGGTGCTGGCAAGAGGGTGGCACTGTGGCTTAATGGTTAGCTCTGCTGCCTCACAGTGCCAGGAACCTGAGTTCGTTCCCAGCCTTGGGTGACTGTCTGTATGCAGTTTGCATGTTCTCCCCATGTCTGTGTGCAATTCCCTCTGGGTGCTCTGGTTTCTTCCCACCACCCAAAGAGGTGCAGGCTCGGTCGTTTGGCCATGGGAAATGCAGGGTCACAGGGCTGGGATGGGTCTGGGTAGGATGCTCTTCAGAGGGGACAGTATGGGCTGAATGGCCTGCTCCCACACTCTAGGGATTCTATTATATCAGGAGCATATCTCTTAAAGATATGCTAACTGTGGGACATAACACAACTGGATAAATAAGGGGAGGGATGACTTAAAATCTGAAATTAGCCATCAGTAATTTTTGGGAATAATCTGAAAGAGCCTGACTTACTCCCTGGGTGAGGCTCAGATTTATTAGCTCTGACTTTGTTTTGAGGATTTACCAACCCATCTCCAGCAACAATCCAATGTAATAACTTCGAGTTTGTCATGGTGCCAAATCTGACAGATGCGGCCCCTCCCTGCAGTAAATGACCCTCCAGCCTGTATTATAAGTAACATCATCTGAGTGGGCCACAGTGTACCGGATATGAAGTCTCTACATCAATAAAAGCGAAATACTACAGATGCTGCATATCCAAAATGAAAACACAAAGTGATGGAGAAACTCGGCAGATCTGGCAGCATCTGTGGAGAGAGAAAGAGTGAGTGTTTCCACAGTGGTACAACTTTTTCATGTTCTTCTCAGTGGGCTGAATGGCCTGCTCCCATACTGTAGGGGTTCTATGATTCTCTGTGATATCTTCACTGGGTCCATGAATCTTTGGAAGATGAGTGAGGCCACAAGCAATCCAAACATTGTAATGCTCCCTGCGAAGTCCCACACCATCTCCCAGTGGCATGTTCACCCTTGGTCACTCTGGTGTAAATACCTGCCAGTAGCCTTTGGTCAGGTCCAATTGTTGCAATAATTGGCTTTCCCTAATTCCTTGACCACCTGAGAAGATCAGCATTCAATTTGGATACTTCTGAAAGTCTTGAAAGAACCATTTGTTTCATTCAGGTTTTGAACATAAATCAATGCGTCTACTCCATTGTCATGTGATTCTTCAGTCACCCTGAGTCTCCATGCTCTCTCCTGGCTAACCATTTTCCATTGGACTTTGGAAATTTATAACATTAGTTATTGTGTCTCCCTTCTCCTCTGTTTATCTGTCTCTCTCTCTCCCTCCCTCTCTCTCTCTCTGTAAAACTGAGCCACCATCTTAACAGTAAACCTGTGACATAGCTGGAGAGGATCCCAGTATTATCTATGATTTGCCCTCTTGTTTTCACCCTTTTCATGGGTCTTGTTGAAGATCTCCAAAGGCCATTGGTTTGAGGAGATAACCTGAAGGTACTTATACCTTTGGGCAGCATGGCAGCTCAGTGGTTATCACTGCTGCCTCACAGTGCCAGGGACATGGGTTCAATTCCAGCCTCAGGTGACTGTCCATGTGGAGTTTGCACATTCTCCCCATGTCTGCGTGGCTTTCCTCCAGGTGCTCCAGTTTCCTCCCACAGTCCAAAGATAGGCAGATTGGCCATGGAAAATACAGGGATGGTGGCTGGGTCTAGGTGGGATGCTCTTCAGAGGGTCAGTATGGACTCAATGAGCCAAATGGCCTCATTCCACACTATGCGGATTCTATGATACTTTTAACCTGGAGCAGAATGAATTAGTTAAGATTTCCTTTGAGGTCCCTATCTTGGAGACCTTTTTCACTAATTCATCCACTAAAGTTTTAGAGGTTGTCACCTTTAGTGGAGTCCCCTCATGTTATCACGTGGCACAGCTATTGAATACCAAAATATACAACGTCCTCATGATAACATCTCCAGTAGAGTCATTGAGTCAAACAACATGGAAATAGACACTTCAGTCCAACCAGTCCATGCCGAACATAATCCCAAACCAAAATAGTCCCACCTGCCCGCACTTGGCCCATATCCCTCCAAACATTTCTTATTCATGAATTTATCTAAATGTCTTTTAAAGGTTGTAGCTGTATCTGTATCCACCACTTCCTCTGGATGCTCATTCCACACATGAACCACTCTTTGTATAAAACAATTGCTCCTCATGTCTTTTTTAAATCTTTCTCCTCTCAGCTTAAAGATATGGCCCATGATCTTGAAATTCCCCATCATAGGGAAACACACCTGCCAGTCACCTTATTTATACCCTTCACGATTTGTAAACCTCAATAAGGTCACCCCTCAACCTCCTACGCTCCAGGGAAAACAGTCCTAGCCTATGCAACCTCTCCCCATAACTCAAACCCTCCATTCCTGGCAATATCCTGGTAAATCTTTTCTAAGCGCTCTCCAGTTTAATAATATCCTTCCAACAACAGGGCGACCAGAACGGTACTCCAGAAAATTCCTCACCAATGTCCTGTACAACCTCAACATAATGTTCCAACTACTGTACTCAAAGGTCTGAGCAATGAAGGCAAGCGTGCTAAGCGCCATCTTAACCATCCTATATGTGATGCAAACTTCAAAGAATTCTGTACCTGAACCTCTAGGTCTTTCTGTTATACAACACTACCCAAGGCCCTACTTTTAATTGGATAAGCCCTGCCCTTGTTAGTTTACCAAAATGCAACACCTCACATTTCATAGAATCCCTGCAGTGTGGAAAGAGGCCCTTCGGCCCCATAAGTCCATACCAACCCTCAGAGCATCCCACCCAGACCCATCCCCCTATAACCCACTGAATCTACACATCCCTGAACACTACAGGCAATTTGGCATGGCCAATCCACTTGGCCTGCAGGAGGAAACCAGAGCACCCGGAGGAAATCCACGCAGTCACGGGGAGAACATGCAAATTCCACACAGACAGTCGCCCGAGGGTGGAATTGAATGTGGATCCCTGGTGCTGTGAGGCAGCAGTGCTAACCACTGAGCCACCATGCTGCCTGTCAACATTTATTACAAATAAAACTCCATCTGTAGTTTTAGTAGGCCCATGTTGGTCTCTTAAGAGGGCATCTCAAGAACTATGAGAGTGTGAAAGTGAGGCCAAGTCTACAGAGCTCCTGGATAGGAAAGACATAACCAGAACAATCACCTCCGTGAGTTTCTCTGTCCCCAGGTGACCTCTCAATCGGCATTTGTCTATCAGCATCAACCCTCCACAGTGTTTACAGGGAACCGGCATACCCCAAAACCCTTGGAGTGTTAGGTGAGTGATGTTGGTAGAAGTTAGGAAACAGGAAGCAGAGTTTTGAATGAGTAAAAGGTTATGGAAGGGTGGAAGAAGGGAGGAACACATTGAAATTAGAGTTAGCAAAGACCTGAATGAGGGATGCAGCTGCAATTGAGCTGAGGCAGGGCTGGATTTGAGCGATGTTACAGAGGTGAGAATTGATCGTTTTTATCGATGCTAGCGTGTGTGGTCAGAACTCATCCCAGAGTCAGGTTTGACACCAAGATCATGAGCAGTGAGTGGTTTCCTCTCAGATAATTGGCAGAGAACAGGATGGAGATAATGGTTTGGAAATAGAGTGTATGACTGGGATGGAAGGCAATGGTTTTCTCTCCCAAATATTTATTACAGCGACCATCTGCTCATCCAGTGCTCGATGTCAGAGAAATGCTCAGGTGATTTAGGGACATTAAGGTGATTGAGTGAGATGGAGGTGACAACTTGCTGCCTATAATATACTCCAATACTATAATAATTCTCAATTGTTCTTTAATTCTAACCAAATAGATTCTGTTTTTCACACCTCAGCAACATAATCCCTGCCCAATGCTGTAATTTCTTAGATGAATACTGTTGCCCCACCACCTTTTTTTGTTTCCTTATCATGCCAGATTAATTTATGGCCAGGAACATTAACTTCCCAATCCTCCTGTTCTTAGAATCAGGCCTTTGTTATCGCCACAATATTTTTGTTCTATTTGGTGGAGCAGATGAATTTTTATCTCCACATAGCCAGGAAAGCACTTCCAAAATTTATTCCATACCACTTTCCTATAAGCTCTTCTCCCTTCAGAGAGAATGAGGATTCTAAGTAATCCAGGATGGAGTACAGGAGAAAATTGTGGCTCGAAGAGCTGTTCTTTTTTGAGGATTTTTGAGCTGATTTCCTCGAATTTGTGGAGCAGAAATTACTGTTTTATGAGTTGTTGCATTGTTTTGGAACTTTGGGGAAAAAAAGAGATCAAAAGAAAGGTACTTGAATAGGAAGAGTTTAGAGTGACGTGGGCCAAATGCTGGCAAATGGGACTAGATTAATTTAGGGTGTCTGGTCAGCATGGACAAGCTGGACCGAAAGGTCTGTTTCCATGCTGTACATGTCTATGACTCTATGAGTCTATGGTAATGTGTGTCTAAGTTCACCAACATTATAGCGCGCACTCGACGCATTTACATACTTGAACACCAACTGCATCTTACTCCGCTTCCCATTGGTCCTGTCTGATCCCTCCTATTCTTGAATTATTTTTTTATCTCAGCACGACTCCTAACTTCATATCTGCGTAGTGCCTTTGATGTAAAGAAATCTTTGATGGTGATTCGCAAAAGCATTAACATACAATGAAGCATAAAACTGAGCCACAAAGGAGATACTAAACCTAAAAGTTTGTTCAAAGAGTTCAGCTTTAAGTGTCTGAAAGGAGGAAAGTGAGATGGAGAGGTTCAGTGGTATAGTGAAGGAAGGCCAGAGCTTAGGGCCTAGATTCTCCTGTCTAGTATCTCAGGCTGATGCCCATCCCTCTATGAACACAGTACTAGTTAACCTACCCTCCCCCAATTCCCTCAACTCTCCAAGGAATTCATTCCCAGCTCTGCCAAGATTCAATGTATCTGCCTGGAACAGGCAGTAGAAATGGTTTCTCTGATCCATGAAAGGCTTCTTCCTATTCCTCCAGCCACGTGTTGTGCTGCTTTAACCTCTGATCCCTTCACTCATTACTGTACAGGAATGGGACTGAGCCAAGGATTAAGGTTGAAATAACCCCAGTCCCCCAGTCACCCAGTCACCCAGTCACCCAGTCACCCAGTCACCCAGTC